CTGTTCATGATTTGGTTTCAGTTAAAGTCAAACTGAAACTTTAAAAATAACAAGCAGATCAAATCGGCTTCAAATAAAATCTTTGCATATTAAATATGAAAGATATAAACCATGTAATACTGCTACATCATACGTGATCAATCGATCAATTAAATGTAAAGGCAATTTATAAGGCGCTGTATTGGCTACTGTATGGAGTTGTGTCAGTTACAGGCTTACAGTGCTCTGTACGCAAACTATTCTTTTACTACATCATCACAAGCCTTTATGTTTGCTAATTACTGTGCTTTGAATCAATTTTACATCATCCTCTTATATTTTGCAGTTCCAAATCTAGTCATAAGTTTCTAAAGAAATGATTTAGTTAACTGTGAGGGAGATATACAACGCTAAACTAAGTGGAACATAGTAAACAATAAACTATGTGGAACAGTAGTGATACACCCATATTTGATTATACGGATAGCTATATTTGATAAAGGTAGGTTATTCTGAATAGATGTTATCGTGAAGCTAATATTAGATGATCGAAGAAAGGGCCTAGACGTTAATAGAAGAGTAGTGACATCTTAAGTAGAATGATTTAGAATGTAAAAATAATGATGTATTATTAGAGAAAAGTATTTTGTTAGATGACTCATGTCTGATTGTTATAAATAGATTTAAGGAAATGTTTATAAGAAATGCAGAAATGAGCTCACATAGGAGAAGAGACTTCACTTCGCTTTGAGCTCGGAATATTTTTAGATTTTAGATTAGATTCTTGTAGTAATTAATTATTGCTCTACTATTCCTAAAAACCTTGTAATAAAAGCCTTTTAGAAAATACCATTTGACTAAGATAGTTATTGTGAAACGCATTTATTACAGGAACATAATAACGATAAACTATATGGAATATAATAACAATAAACGATAGACTGTGTGGAACACAATTACTATAAAACTATTTGAAACACAACGAGAAACTATGTGGAAGATAAAGAACTATAAACTATGTAGAGTAAAATAACAATAAATTGTGTGGAACATAATAACGATAAACTACGTGGAACCTAATAACGATAAACTATGTGGAACATAAAAGCAATAAACTAAGTGGAACATAATAACTATAAACTACGTGAAATAATAATGACAAACTACAGTACAGTACAGCATATGGAACATGGAAATAATACACTATGTGGAGCATAATACCCATAAACTATGTAGATGATAATAAAAGATATGGAATATAACAGTAAATTATGTAAAACTGCTGTAAGGTCGATAAACTACCGTACGTCGAACATAACGATATACATTTCAACGATAAACTACCGTGGTAGAACATACAAACAACTGGTACCGTACGGTATTTATGTTAACAACACAGCGACGAACCATGTGCTTCATCTCAACTCTCTCTTTAAAACTTCTGGATTTTATACCCTCGACGGCAAATTATACCGCAGGGTATCTGCAGAATCATACCCTCAACGGCAGATCATACCTTAGTCTATCTGCAGAATCTACAGTAAGTATTCCTAACACTTACTGTAGAAGTTTTTAACCATTACAGTTCTTCCCTATGGTCCCAATATAGCTATTCTATGTAACACTATAGATTTCTGCACTATTTATACATAGTAAGCCTTCCTAACACGTGCAAGTCCTAATCATTGTGGTTCATCCCTATGGTCCTAACTAAAGAACGTGAGTGAAGTTTAGATTTCACGTGAACTTCACCAAGTGCACATTATACAATACTGTATACTGAGTGTACTGTACTGTAAACTAAAGAGTGCGAAATATAAACCCTAAACTATAAGGAACATTTAGACTATAAGCTATGTGGAACATTAAACTATACTG